ATCTTATATGGAAGCTTGTACCCTTAGACCAACATCTCCCTGTTTCCCATCCCCAGCCCCTGGAAACCACCATTCTACTCTCTGTTCCCATGAGTTCAGCTTTTTCAAATTCCATATATAAATGAGTCATGCAGTATTTTCTTTCTCTGTCTGGCTTATTTTACTCAGCGTAATACCCTCAACGTCCACCCACCCATGTTGTTGCAAATGGCAGGATTATTTGAGCCAGTACCATAAGGATTCATGAATGACAAGTTAAATCTATAAACTAGTCCAGATATTACTGAGTCCACATTTTTTTTTAAATGATGTAGTGGGAGAAAGTTGTGGCCGATACTAGGAAACCTATGTTCATTTCCTGGCCCAGCCAAGAATAGACTACAATAACTCAGACAAACACTCCACCTCCCTAAGTCCCACCCAACAAATGAACAAGCCTCCGTAATTCACCTCTTGCTCCAAAATTCGTTGCTCATGCAATGTTTAAAAAAGTCTTTGTCTTGTAGCCCACTGCCTGTCCCTCAGCATTCCCAGATCAACCCTCAACACTCACCAAGGCAGAAGAGGACAAACTGGGATGGGGACATGGTTCCTCAGGCTGTCCTGAGCTCTGTAGCCCAGGAGAGAAGCTGTGAGGGGCTGGAGCAGAGACACAGGATGTGATGAGCATGAAGAACACTCTCCTCCCTCCCCTGCCAGCCTGGCTTTTCCTAATTGAGACTTATCAAGCGGGAGCTGTTCCCTCTGGAGAATGACTTGCACACAAGCTCCAAGGAGCCTCACTTATCTTCTGTCACCAGCCCAGGTTGTACCATCTGGGCCTATTGAGGGACTGTTCACATTCTCATACTTCCATAAACTTCCTAACCTTACTGGGGATATGCAAATCAAAACCACTATGAGATCACTTCACACCTACTAGGATGGCTCTCATCAACAAGACAAACAATAACAAGTGGTGGTGAGGATGTGGAAAAGTTGGAATCCTCATGCATGGCTGGTGGGAATGGAAAATGGTGCAGCCACTATGGAAAACAGTATGGTGGCTCTTCAAAATGTTAAACATGAAATTACCATATGATCCAGTAATTCCACTTCTGAGTATACACC